AAGGGAGGGTCATACCTACACTACCATTTCACACATTACGATGCTGTACCCTGCGTGCACATTTGAGAGGTGAAATGGTACTTTATATGCAGTTGTGGACCTGGTTATCGTAAGCCGGGAACTGATCACCTATCAGAAAGTCGTAGAGTGTGTCTTCAAGGCTAATTTTTGCTAACAGAGTCAACATAACATTGATTACTGTTCAACAATTGGTGATGTGTTTTTAATAACCTGAGATAATTTGAAATTTTCAGTTTTTACGAAGGGCTAAGTGACCACGAACGAGCTCGCCGTGTTCAGAATTACGGCACATTTAGAGGTGATCCAAACGCTGTTGCAGGAAGAAATCTAGCAGGGGTTTGTTGTGTACCGTTTTCATGGACATGTCCAGAAAATGTGCTATTTATTAATTTTGTAATATTTACAGACTGACGTCGCAGCGGACTGTCTACAGTGGTTATTTTCACAATTTACCAAGGGTTCTATATTCCTTGTAGCATTAGTGCTTCTTGTGGTCGCTTGTCAATCACATCCTGTTCTATATACGATCGGATTCTTCTGTATATGGTCATTGTTAATAGTTTACTTTAAGGTAAGTTATTTATGGTTTACATGCAGTTTCTCCTTATAGCTTCTCCGTGGAAGTCTTCTTCGTGTTTTTTTTTTTTTATTCAATTTTTGAGGTTTTGGTCTTTGCTTGGCGGTTGGTAGGCAGCGTTCAGACTTCGCGACGGCAGCGCTTCGGTCGCGCGTTCGACGCGATCGATGCAGTCGAAAGCATGCGCATCGATCGTGCCGAACGCGCGACCGAAGCGCTGCCGTCGCGAAGTCTGAACGGTGCCTAAAGGGGGGAGAACACTTGCCAGTGCCTTCAGACGCATTCCATTGTGGTGGAGCATTAAATAGTACCCTGCGAGATCTGTACAGGCCACCCTGTGAAGTCCTACAAATTCTTCTAGCCAGAGCACCCGTGTACCATTTCACAGCTTCACAAGTGTTAATCTGTTAACTCGCATGAATAGCAGAAAGGTGAAAATGCAAAATGCCCCTCCCAAGCAGCGCCCCTTCCTACAATCAAGGCTTAGACTCAGTGGGGACTAAGTCTTCTCTGCGGGTTAGCATTCGGCGACCCTAGTCGTCTGACGCTCTGAGCCGAAGCTTTTTTGGCGAAGGCAGGGCATGTCGTACGCTGAGGATTCGCAACGAGGGAAGGAGATCACATTTGGGTACGATGGAAATTGGGTGAATTCAGGAAGAAGGAAGGTAGGATAGTAGGATGGGGATGGGAGTCGTATCAAAGGAGGAAATTCTCAGAAGGGGGGTCATATCTTGTAGACTTTATATCAGAACATGCCCTGGCCAAGGGATACGAAGGCGCGGCCGAGTAGTCCCATCCTCCAACTGCGTTGACCCTTTATTTCTAGGCACGTTTTCTATGAATGACTCATTTCAAGTCTTTTATTCGAGTTGTTCTTCAATTTCTCCAGAGTAAGGACTCAGACTAGAAATAATTCCCCCCCCCTTCCTCCCTAATTGTTCAGTGATAGCGGCGAACGTGTTCAGCGCTGTTAAGGAATTCTGGCACTGATCCACATTCTGGATCGATAACAGTATGAAAAACCAACCATCGGCCCCAATTACCTGCGAAATGTGCCCCTATTCATCTAAATGAATAAATGTCCGAAGCGAATTGATAACGCGACCAGTAGTTGCGTTGTGACACTATTCAACACTGCATTACTACTCTTACATTTCTTTCCTTCCTTCCTTCCTTGGTTCCTCGGTTTTTCAGGTTTTTTTAGTTTTATTACCCTTGAAATTTTATAATTAAGAGCGCTCACTGGGTATGAACGGTGTAGGCTAGAAAATAGGCGTGCGCACAGAAGTTTCTCGGAATTCCGGAATGTCTTTCTTCAGAATTGTAGTTTTTATATTCTCTTTGGAACTGGAAGAAATTTGGAAATTTGGAGTAGGAGGGAATTCTGAAATAAGAGAAATAAAAACCTGAATTTTTTTGTAAAATTAATCCGCTCCCTTATATAGGATTTCAGGGTACAAATATCTTAGGGTGCAGTTATGGCTTTACTTTTGATTTTACTTATTATTTCATTGGCTTGACGAACCTCACATCGGTTTCCACCTAAGCCAAGAGAGCTCTCTACTTTCGGGGACGGTAAATTGCTACCACACTCCCACACTCATGTGTAAGGATAAGAAGTGCCGCACCGAAAAGGGATCAGTGGCAAAGGCTTTACGCTTTTCATCATCTTTTTGTTTTATTGACTTAATCTGTTTTTTTATTGTTGCATTAATTACTTTTATCCATCTGCTTACTTACTAGATTGTAAATTACCAACTGCAGTCGTTCTTTGCGTTTTATAGAAAGGGAGACACCCACCTACTATGTTCTCAGCCTTGGGTATGTTTATTTACAGTCTTATCGCTGCGGGCGCTGGAGCGTTTCAGGGGGCTGGGTTTGGCGGGGCTCAGTTATTTTCCCGCTAATGGTAGTCGCCTGCCATATCGCTGGAAAATGGACTGGCGCCGCGCCAAACCCAGTCCCCCTGCCTAACATGCCCCAGCGAAGCGACCGCAGTGAACAAGACTGTAAGTGGGGATGTCTGACTTGAGAGCGGAGAAAGGTCAGATCGAGAAAATCTTTCTATATCTTTCCAGATATACGAGACCGATTCCTCCCTAAGGTGGTTACCCGTCGCCCTCAAACCATTTAGGGACACGTTTGACAGTTTTTTGTACTCCTTAGTTTCATCCCTATTCCAGAAGAATTTTTCGCTTCATAAACTGTTCCCAACGGCGCCAATCTGACTCTCTTCTCGTTTATCCTCTGAAGCAATGACGATCTCCTTTTTTCCTCCCCCTTTATATTTGTAGTATCCATAGAACTGAGATACTGCCCCAGAACACTTTGAAGGCACCCTCTGTAGTGCAGTGGTTAGCACAATTACCCAGTAAGCATGGGCCCAAGTTCAAGTCCTCGTCAAGCTTAGCTCCTCGCTAAGGTTAGCTTTTTCATCTTCAGGTCGACCGCGCTGCTCGTCTTTTTTCTATCTCATTTTCTGGTGTACCTTTAGACCCCCCCCCCCTTTAGATTGTTTTCTTAGACCTAAGCTGAAAGTGCAGGTCGTATCCTAGTCCTGGGCAGCTTGTTTCTCCGTGGGCCCCGAAATACTTGCGACCTCTCCCGTAGGGTAAACAATATTTTGGTTTCTTCCCTGAAATCCTTATGGGCCTGAGCTCTATGCAAAAATGGCCCGCTTATGGAGATTTTCAAGCCCATGCGAGCACCTGCACTTCAAAAGTTCTCTACGGTTCGATGCAGTTTCGCTTGGTGGGGCATCTGCTTGGTTTTGCTGGTTCCCATCGATCATTACCGATGCCTCCTCTGGAGACCTGTAGAATCGTGTATAGCACTGCATTAGCAAATGCTTCGTCCGCAGTTGACGAATCTACAGGTCTCACCAAGGTGAAACGTGTAATTTAGCAGAAGCTACCAACGAAAACTCGTAAAAGTGCGAAACATCCCCCTGAGCCGAACGGCGGCCATGATTCAATAGAAGTCAGCATCTGGGATTATTCTAACCCTATTCCGCGAAGGGTTTGGTAGTCGCTTGTGGAATAAGCCAAGTTACTTGTTGCTGTACTGAACTTGTTACTGTCATGCACGCACTGTAAAAACATGACGTTGATGTTTGCGATTTTTCCTCCAAAGAGCTTGCCCTGACGATGAATGGTGGGTCTTAACGCAAGGGTTGAATAGAGCTGGGCGAACTGAATGTACAGAACCTGCACTTCTCCGATCGTATTTGCATTGTTGAGAGCGAGTCGTCTGACTTTCTAAAAACGTGTTTAGCATTCCATCGATTCGATATGTTTTTGGAAAAATAGACCTGTTACAAAGTACAAAATGCCTGTATCGCCTGTAAATTTATGATAACTTTTCACGAGTACGGCCCTGTTGGTTTTTTGGAAAGTTTTTTTTTCGAATATAATTTTCAGCGGTGTTTATACCTTTGCCTTTACCTTAGAAAAAGGATAAATCTCTCAATGCAGGACTATACCTTCCTGGGATGCGGCATGCATCCCGTTTCCCTTCTGAATCATAGCTGCCTCTATTCTCTATTCTCTCTACAATTTAACACGTTGGCGACATTGCGTCCCACTGCTGGGACGCACCTTTTTTGCCGCGTGGGACATTGCGTCCCACTGCTGGGATGCGGCATGGGTAAAAAACCAATTTGAAGACGTTTCGAATTTTCAACAGCTGCATATTGTCCATGAAGGCATTGTAGAATATACAGTAGCTGTAAACCGTGCAGTTGTGTCATTGAGAGTATTTTACCGAGGAGACAAACGAAAGTGATTTCCTAGGAAAAAAAGATAATTCTTGGATATATAGAACTGAAGCTCCACATGCAGATAGCTAATGTGATAAGGTAACTTTCAACAATAGCAGATCTGAATCGAATCCAATTTACCACCTCTGGCGCGAAAATATTCCTTTTTTGCGACCTTGTTCCCACGCTCCACGTGAATGAGGCGGGAGTATTCCATGAAATTTCAGGGTTTATCTTGAAAGTAAAAGAATGCGAAGCCTTACTAGCTTCTGCAATGAATTCTGACCATTCTTCAATTTTTTTGGCGTATAAACGCCCTAGCATTTATGCGCATTCTTCGAAAATAGGGAAAAACTGCTTTGTCCCACGCGGCAGACACGCGAAAAGGCGCCTTGTCGCCAATGTGTTAAGCATTACTGTGGCTTGCAGGGGTCAGCTGATCTATACTTCAGTGTTTCTGCCGTAAACCACCCACCCTGCTCCTCCCCTCTCAATGTGAGCTTCTTACCAGTTCCCCTTCTGCGGCCGAACAAAAGGCTTGGTTACCTCCACCGGGGCCTGAGCCGGGATTTAACCGCCAGTGGTGTGCTTATGGCGACCAAAACGCATAGTCGGAAATATGTGAAATCGTGGAAATGAGGACAGATGGTTAGTTTTCGGCTTGGGGATTGTATCTGGCTTGAAGATTTTTCGAACTGTTATTTTTCCTCTCATGCTGTACATGCTCTCTGCTCGACTGTGAATATTTGGGAAATTTTTATAAGATGGCAGGTTGTTTGTGAATGAAAGGGAGTGGGCAGGGCGGTGGCGTTGGTTTAGAGAGCGAGAATACAGAGGCTCCTGTTTTGCAGAATTTTTCCACGCTTGTCTGATGCCCTAATGGTCACCTCTCACTGAATTATCTGCGCCCCCATATGCAGTCGTTTTCGCTGCGAAGGTCGTGTTAGGCAATATTTTCCGCGCCACGAGCCCGTTCTCCAACACCTGCTGAAGGCGGGCAACCTGCGACAGTTGCCGTGGAAGGGGCTGGTGCCGCACTAAGCACAGCTTCCTGACACTCCCCAGCGTCTGCAGCAGAAACGACCGTACTTTAATGACTGTTTAAGGGCGAATCGTCTCACAGAGACAGGAGATACCGTGGGCAAGCGTAGTGTGCACCGATCTGGTCGTGCTCGTCCCACTGATTGCTAGCTTTGTTAGAATCAATAAATAGGTACTAAGTAAATAGGGGGGAATGAAGCCATCTGTTCTAATATCTCTGTCTTGAGCCTTTTTGCAGGCACCTCCTTTGCGTGAATGAAGAGGAGTCGGATGCATGGCTCATCCGTTAGGAGACTTTCTATGGGTGCCACTTTGGTCTTCTTCACCGTGTAGCACAAAAATTGGAGCAGTTCCGATTGAGGGGGCACCAAACTGTGCTCTGCAAAGCCTGCGCAGGTCGCATTGTGAAGTCCTGGTAATTCTTGTAACCAGATTGGCTCCCTTATAGCATTTCGCAGTTTCACAGGAACTTGTCGGATATGGTTAACTAGGAAAAGGAGCTAGCGATAAAGCGAAGTGCTCCCTCCAAGTCGAACAGTGCATGAAAATCTTCTGTTTTCTTGTTTATTACATGTGCCCTAGTTACATATATTATATCATCATACAAGTAACAAGAAGTCATCTCAGCAACAATATAAACCCGAAGCAATAAATCGAACAATCAAGTAAGGGGCACAGACTGGCATCCTGTAATTGATATTGAGTGTTCATAATCTGTCACATTTTCATATCGATTTTTGTAAGGCTAATTTTACAAGGAATCTTTTCAGACTAGCTTTGGTTTCTTCTGCCGTATTGCTTATCCATTCTGGCTGAGCTTAATCATCTACACATCGGTGGTGATCATCTCGTTATATGTGTATCAGTTCCCGAATGTGAGTTCCTTTGGTCCTTCCGGGACGGTTTTTTATGACTAGGCGGGTACCACCTTCGCACAGCAAGATGCTGCTGAGTGAGTAATACGTGATATGAATCATTGTTCGCTTGCGATTGTTTTCCGCGGGACTGTCTGGGTTTTCTAAGTTTATTCAAATATGGTTATCACTAGGTGCCACCTAGAGCTTTATGTTTTCCTCATCTGATCGGTCCTATTTGGGTAGTCTTATGAGCCTGTCTGCTTTTCTTTTTCTTCTAGAAGTAATTTTCATTCAGTTTACTGTTTAGTTCCCTGCTGTTTGGACGAAGTGGACCGGCTTAGACAAAAGTTGGAATGACGACATTGGTCTGATCAACTACAGTAACGTTGGCGAATCGGGGTATTTTTATTTTTTTGCAATAACCTTTACTCTCGGATAGATTGAATATTGTAATGGTAGTTTTTTACGAGGTCTTCTTCAGGACCCTATTTGTTCGACTATTCTTTCCGATTTCGTTGTTCGTTGTGACTATGCTACAACTAAAGTTCTTCCATGATCCTTGGATGGCAATGATTAGACAAGGCCCAAGAGATCAAGAGGCATCAGCATCAGAGAGTGAGTTTTTCTTTTCAGGGCTCTTTTCTTGTCAGAGAATCGCGATTTACAGTCGTCGTAGACAGCGCGTTGAGACCGCGGCGATCAGCTTTTTTCAGCCTATTTAGCCAATTTATCCCAATTTCCTTTAAATTATTTATTTTTTTCAAATAAGTTTTGTTTTTATCTTTTATAAAGGTATATAGAAGTGAATACTTTTTTTTTGTAATGAAGTGTCTTCGCGATTTTTTAGGTATTTGTTTAAATGTTTCGTTTAATTATTAATTGTTCGCAAAAATTAGAGATCAATCATAATTTACCTTGTGAAGACAAGGAACAACTAACCTCAAGAAAAGCAGCCAAAAACAGTGAAAATTAGGGAGAAAATGGCTAAATAGGCTGGAAACAGCTGATCGCGCGGTCGCGCCGCAGCCGCGTCTGCGATCCTTTGACGGCCTAATGAACTGCCCGGATGGCAACTTCACGATATCGTTTTGTAAATCTTGAAAGGGTAAGAAAACCGTTTCGTACATAGTGAAGCCCTTACATAACTAGAAGGCCTTATTTGGCCTACGTTCCAGTGTTTTCGCCTTCGTCAGATCGCGAAGCGGTCAAAAACAGTTGAGAATTGTTCACCCAAACGTTTCAGCGACCCAAAAGTCAATATTTTAAACTTCTAATTTGCTCAGCTGTGCCGGTGTAGGGTATAGAGCTACCACATCTTGGTCTCAGCTGTCGTGGTGCGGTCACTGCTTCTACAGTGGCAGCTACTCGTTTACAGTACTACAGTTTGGGTATGGCTATTTAGATTCAGTACAGTG